GTATACGTACACACACACACACACACACACACACAAAATATGTTTTCATATACATATATACAAGTATATATTTTATTATATATGTATATAATGCTTAGGTTTATATGCGATATTATAGACATCAACAAATGCATACGTTTGTGTTTTAATAATTTATCATTTGACTGAATTATAGATATGTAATATTTATAAAATAAACAAATAAAAATTAGGTAATTTTTAAGGTTTTGAATTAAAAATTTGAAAAAATACAGAAGTTCTAACAACTTATAGATATAAGAATATAAAGTTTTGAAATGATAAAACCAACCATATGTAATGGGTAACATCGTTAATTTTTGTTTTACGCTTGTAATCTCAATAACAATGAAGATATCAATCATTCTCAATCAGACAGTGATGGGTTCAAGTTCCAATTATTATATTGTGTTATTAATTTATTTAAAGTCGATTGTGATTGAACTATCGGAAATACGTCATTTAATGTCCTTAATGGTCAAAGTCATTATCACCTTTCCATAATATTACTAGTTAATACAGTAACGGAATTAGAAGTAGTATTTAATGTTGCAATAAGCAAAAATTTATGGGAAGAATAAAAAAATCTTTAAATTTCTTAACTTAAAAGAATCTATTTTTACAATATCTTTTTTATTATAATTTTTGTTATTTTATTAATACGTTACATTTTTGGTGCAACATTATCAAAGATTTATTTAATTTTATCAAAAAGATAGGGAATTTGAAAAAAAAGGCTTTTTTTCAAAAAGCTTTTAAAAAATTGTATTTGAAATAAAAGATAAATATAATTTTATAGAAGGGCGAAAAGTTTAAGTTTCGTCACTGCACATTACTGAGATATATATTTCGAGAAACGCAATTAGTCATAGTTTTAAATCAACTCTGATGTTAGACGCGTTTTCTTTGTGGAATACACGTGAGCTGTGTACGATAGGCATGTAAATTGTTGTTGTAATACTTAAGGATCATTTGTTATATGCAACTAAAGATTTTCTTTAATTTTCTTTAATTTTCTTTAATTTTCTTCAATTTTCTTATAACAAACATATGACATATTTTGATAAGTGTATCACATATAGAAAAAATATTTTAATATAAACTTGAAGTTTGTAAATAAGAAATATTGTTACGAATATAGAATTTGTATCAACTTTTTATTAAAGAATTATATTTTCTTTAAGCGAGAGAAGAAAGTAAAGTGAACCTTTTGTTTCATAAAATTTATTTATTTAATATTGTTTTAAAACGCCTTTTGAAACATAAAAACTATTATTAATGTAAAATTTGTGGAATCGTCAAAATTTTATTGAAAAAAGTACAAAAAAAACAAAACTAAATTAAAACAAAACAAAAATAAATTCAAATTTTTTTAGTACAAAATATTTAAAAATATATTTAGAGATAAAATATACAAAAAAATTTCACGGTAAAATTATCCTAAAATGAACATGAGATTTTTTAATATCTTGTATAAAAATATATTGGAAATATAAAATATATTTTTTATACATTTATGTAATAAAAAGTTATGAAAACTGTCTCTTAATATCACATGAATCATTTTTATCCAATTAATTTTTATCCAAACTTTTTATTCCAATTTCTCTCTCTCTCTTCTCTCTCTCTCTCTCTCTCTCTCTCTCTCTCTCTCTCTCTCTCTCGTTTCACACGGAGTCACCCTCTGAAATCACGTGGAAAGTATGTCTGTATTGTCACTGAATGTGCCTTTGTACACTTGTTCTCGTTGAGGTATTTTCATTCACATACGTGAGATGAAAGAACGCGTTCGGGAAGCGGAATAAATAAATTGGGAAGCTTTTCAGGAAAATTATTTTTTTGCATAATTTTCAGATCTGTGAAAAATTTTTTCTTGATTTTCATAAAATAAATAATATTTAAAATTTATTTCTTGAACGTCTATTGCGATATATCGCGAGTGCAGAGTTATGGTAGATTTGAAAAGATAATCGTAAAAACGATGAACGTTCGAGAGACAATCTTTTAATTTATCATTCATAAAGTTTAATATAAAGTAATTTTCATAGATCTCTTATGGACGAACCTATGCGCACGTTATAATGTCCTATAAATTTTTATAGCACGCGTATAGCCCATAATTCGTGGCGGCTTAGGAACAAACTCGAGCTAAGAACGTTTAATATTAATGGTCTGGCATTTAGTGGTCGAAGGGGTTAAAGCACGCTCGTAAAAATAGTGGTTTCTTCCCCTAACGGTTAACGGGGTATCTTTCGTATAAGGTTACATGCAAATTTGTTTGCCTTTGAACGTACGCGCGTACACGGCGGGGTTCGCGTATTGTTGCGAGTGGCTTTCCGCGAGATCGGCTGAATACGAGTGTGCGAAAGTGCACATGATGATTTATATAGACGTATTTGGCAGAGCCCTCGGCGGTGTGGGAGCCCAGGGTTCAGGAAACAAATTTATGCGCATTGTATCAACGGGGATCTCTCGGCGGCATCGTTGTCACGACTTCCCAGAAATAACGTGACTACGATTGCGCCATAATTGGCCTAAGTGTGCCCATTGTGTTCGTGTCACTTGCGTGTCGCCTACAGGTGTCTTCTCCTCCATTTTGTTGTGTCTTGCGATTTACGTTCGTTGGATTGCGAAACATCGGAGACCAGTTGCTCGCACCGAAGCCCCTACATCTTCGTCCATTTTCTTTATACTTTATATTTTCGCAATGGTTTATTGCCAAGCAGTCAAGAATCTTTGGCTTTATATGAATTGATTTTAATTAATATTCTCAAAAATTTTTGAGAATATTAATAAGATGAGATTTAAACATAATAATCGTAAAAGAAGTTGTTTGAAATTTTTTATTTTTTAACTGGAGTTCAATGGCTTTCTTAAATTTTTATTAATAGAATTTGTCTATCTCTTCTCTGTCAATTTCTTTTACTCTTCCACATGAAACTTTGTGTTAGTTTGATTAGATTTGATTAGTGTTTAGCGATATTTAGATGGTGTTTGAAAACTTTTGTGTAACGTAAATAATATTGTTTTCTTGGACTGGAAGGAAATCGGGTCTCGCGCCAACGGGCTCAGTGAAAGGGGTCTTCGGGCCTCCGAAAAAGAAAATTGTTGTCCGATTCACTTGGCCGCCCGCAGTCCACCGAGTCATCTCACCCGTGTAATTACACGGGGGCCCACTCCGGGATAATTGAGGACGAAACCGAGGGGAGAAAGTGAACCGCCGCGTCACTTCGCGTATGCGGCATGATTCATTCGTTATTCGGCGTGCATGGTGTGTACACACGCGAGGAGACAGGCCCGAACAGGTCCCCGTAACTAGGGCATGACGAAGATGGCACCTGTTGCGATTGCACAAATTGACAGGAGCGCCAGTCTTGTTAATAATAATAATCTTACAATAAAATTTCGATTTAGATTTGATTATTAAAATAATGTACAATGATAATTGTG